ATGGCCAGAGAGGGCCCCAGACGCATCAAGCCTTTCTCGTTCCATCTTGAGCAAGGCAGGCCTTTTGGGGAATAATGGCAATGCTCCTGTGTCCTTTGGGTAGTGGCGGTCGTCATCGAAGAATGGCCATGCCCGCTGTTGAAATATCTTTATCTGTGTAGTGTCATGAGATGATAGCTGCGAATTAAGGGACTCCCACCAAGCTGGCTCAGCAGGACCCTGACTATAGCAAAGTCCGTACATTGGTCCCCGCGAAAATCTTGCTAATATGAAGTGATCTTCCATTCTCAAGGAGTGGTCCATTTCAAAACTGCAAAGCCTCTTGACAAAGTTGTCCAGAGGTTCGGTATCTTTTGGCCTTGCTGTGGCAAAGCGAATCATCCTGACGATCAAGGGAAACCCGTAACAAGCCATGTTCCTGACGGCCACCTGCATTTCTCGAGAGCGAATACCAACGTCCCGACCATACTTGACTGGGTCTACGAAGAGCGTGTCAGGAAATAGAAGTCCAGTTTCGGGAGGTGCATCGGCTTCAGGTAACCATGCATCACCGCAGTGAGCAAAGAGAGCGCCATATAATGAGGATGCATACGTCCAGACGCATTGAAATTCCTCCATTCGTCGCCTTGTGAGTTTTCTGGCTACTTTTCCAAATAGAGCGCGGTTTCCGGAAGTGAAGCTGAGTGCCTTATAGACCAGAGACGACAGCTCAACTCGTAGAAATGCTCTCAAGAAACGTCTTCTTTCACCTTCCTGCAGGTGGCATGAATCGAATCTTTTTGTAACTTTTTTCCCCTTGCATATGAGGTAGCTCTGGATGTGAGTAGGCTGAGGGAGACAGATGTATTCCCGAGGTGGGAAGGCCGCAGTCGCCTTTGTGATGTAGTCTTCGACAAACATCATCAGAAGACTATGCAATTTATCGAGTTGTTTCATGAGAAGGGCATCGCGGGTCACAAAAGGATTTGGAAGCTCTTGACCCTCCCATGAGTTTAAATGTTCTTCAACGAGGAGCATGCCCTTTCGGGACTTTCGGGCCTCTCGAAGAGACGGGAATAGATTGATGGCCATAGCATCTTGTATCATTCCGTCATCGAAGTCGCGCTCGAGCAAATTTCGTATTATTGTGCTTTTGAATTCAAGGTATTGCTCGCACATTACTGGAGAGGCTTCGAGGATGCTCGAGAGAGTGGCCTTGGATTGAAGGTACGAGAATATTTGCAGACGTAACTCGGCAGGGATTTTGCTGAAGGGATCCATGATGGCTATGATCCCGCTTTCGTGGACAAGGAGCTGAATCGAGGGGTGTTTCTAGGGTGAAGCTGTTTGATCTTGTGATGAAAGGTCGATGAATGGTTTCTTTTTTGGTGGGGGAAAAAGATAAAAACTTGATAGAAGCACGCTCGTGTTTATGCATCTCATCTCGTTTCGCCACTTAGTAAGGTAACTCTGAAATTGTGTTCTGTGTGAAGGCTATCCCGACTTTGAACTTTATGTCGGCAAAAGATTTGTTCTCTGGGCAGCATAGATTTACAATTTAAATGGCAAAGCTACTTCAGTCTAATGTTCTAGATAAGCGTCCTTTTACTTTCGGTTTCAGGCTTTTTCTTCTAAGTGGGAAACTTATGTTTGTTTGAGTTATGTCTATATTTTTGTTCCAAAGCTTGGGCAGATTTTGACTTCATAGTGAGTTAGCTCGACATATCACGTCGAGATTTGATGAAGTACACCTGTTTCATGCCTCAACAGCCTCAGAACACCAACAACACTTGACGTCATCGAAATTTACGATACTGTTGTCAAGTTGGGGTATTATATATTATGTATATGGTATATAGCTAAAGAATTGATGTGAAGATCTCAGGATCGTCTGCTGCTAGACATGGAAGGGTTGCGACCAACCTCCTCGACCATCATCTGCTTAGGATGCCCGGTATTTGAAGTCAAAGGTAGCTCATCTCCCGAGTCTGTCCCCTCCCTGAAAGGATTCTTCTGGGGCTTCGTCTCGACTGTGACCTCAAACTCTGTTCGACGATGAATGCCAGGTCCGCCGTTGTGTCTACCCATGGTACCAGACAAGTCCTCATCGGAATCACCAGCGACAACCTTTGATCGATGTGTCAACTGGACGTTGTTGCCCTGAGTCCATGGTGCATCGTTCGTCCGCTGGTTGTTGCTTTGGTGGTGGCCAGAGTGCGACATGGATGGGTAATAGTCGTCGGCGTTCTCGCCCTTTGCGAGGCGAGTGATGAGTTTGGCCATGGACATTTCGATGTTGAGCTTGACCATGTATGCGACGGGGTGGAATTGGATGTAGACGACCTGGTTGGGAAGCGACATGAGGCCGATGAGCATGCCCTGGTAGAGTCAGCACCAATTTGGGGATGGGCAGAGTCGAGATACTTACGTCCATGAGGATCGAAATGACCATGAGCTTAGCGTTGAAGCCGACAAGAGGCTCATACTTCTTCAAGCGATGCTGTTCGACCAGTCGTTTCTTGACAGTTCGAAGGAAGTACCAGTTAAGACCAGCATCGACGAGAAGGATGAGGACCTTGGAGATACGATCCCAAACTTCATTGATGCGCACAAAGCTGCATTGGTCAGCAAAGCAAAGAAAAGTCAAAATTTCGACAATGACTTACGTTTGACTGGCGGGAGGCACAGTATGAGCAGGAATCCAAATAACAAAGACAGCAATGTTGATAAGAGTGATGGTAATGGCGGTTCCCCATTTCAGCTTAAAGATAGTAGACCGATGTTCGGCGATGATGGAGATTCGGTTGACGATAATTTGCATAAGAAGCTGGACCTCAAAGACCCAGAAGAAAAGAATGAAGAACAACACCGGTACACTAGACACTGTTAGCACGCCACTTTCGACACTGGCTTGATGGCTGTCTTACGTCGGTCCGATGATTCCATCCAAGAAAATCCATCCGATGATAGCGATGATAATATTTGCTAGAATCTCTCCCCAGAGCATGTAAATGTAACTACTTCGCAGCGGGTTTCGGTTCCGTCGAGTCTGCTTCCACGCCTCCCAGACAGTAAGCAGGCCAAAGCCAAGGGTGAACCCCATAGCAATGGAAGCGATCTTGATGTCACTCGTAGTCGCCGACATGATGTACAAAGGAGTGATACAAAAAAAGCAAAGAGGAATGAAGGATCGGCCGGGGGAAGAGAGGAAAGAGGGACAGAATCTGGGGATCCAGGGGGTTTATACATGCAGACACTACCAGAACCACGTTTTAGGTGCTCCCAGCAGGTAGAGGCAAGCGTGAAGCTGGAGATATTAGTGCCACGGGACGAGACTCCAGGAACGGTCTGGCGTGGCGTGGCGAAACGATATTCTCTAGCCAAGTCTCTGGATGAATCGCGTTCTGCGCTTTGACCTTCGCTTTGACACTTGCGCTCTTGTGGACAATTGGACTACCTGATTTGATGGGAGAATACGCTGGTCGAATAGCTTAACCATATCCCTGCCATTACCCGAGGGTCTGGTCCCAGATGCATGGTATGATCGTCTCTCGGTACGCATGATCTACAGGGATGAGCATCACATCACTGTGCAGACGCTCTGTATTTCCGCACTCTAATTCTGCAACCGAGCTCCAATACGGGAGAGTTACCAATGGCTCCGGGCGACATTTCCCTTTATGTCACCAAGCCTCGGTTTTCCCCTCTCGCGCCTCAACGAAATGTCATCACAGACGCTTGCGCTAAAGGGTTTTCACCCGCTAAAATGGCACTTGACTCAGGGGGGGCGCCACTGAATCAGCGCCACAGGAGATGGCAGCGTATCAAATTTCGGTACTTGGGAATCCTTTGAGAACAAGTTCCGCTGCGCCAAGTTGCTGGGCTTCCACTTTTGTCAACGCCACTTGGGTCTTTTGATGGCGGAATGAACCGTTGTTCTTTGCTGAAACGTTAGATGAAGTTAATATCGATCAAGCTCATTCGTTGTCAAAGTTTGCCGACACTTTCCCAAGACTTGTTTAGTGTTGGGACAAAGACATCTTCTTGACATATTCTACCGTAGAATTTCCGTCGTTAGGTCTGCTCCGAGCTCCGGGCCGAATGTGCATGATCTCCATTAGATTGAAAGGGGCCACGGAAATAAAATATTGTTGGGATGAAGTGTTCCTCCGAAATGGAGACATTCTGAGACGAACTCCAATTTGCGCCTGTCCAACCGAGGTCTCGGAATAATTCCTCCTCTTTCAACATTCCAAGAAACCGGATATAACATTGGCAATTAATGCCCAGAAAAGATGTATACCTCGCAGTTCGTTTCACAGTCCATATGATCATCTCTGGAAGATCCCAATACATGACTCAACTCATGCGTAGCCCTGCCTATAGTAGCACTCGGCGATAAAAATGCAGAGCCTCAGAGTCAGTAGGGGCAGATCGTCGGCGCTATGTTAGTCATTAGTGGATCGGGGTAACAGTGCTGGTGGAACTGATCAATTTTTGAGATCCATCACCCACGTGGATCGTCAGTGCGTTCCTTGTTCAAGTGGACTTGATGATACCCTCCCAACACGTCACTTATCTTTCGGTTATCTTTTACCTGAATCTTTAACAGACTGAGAGTTGAGTCGCGCAGTCTGAATGCAGTTGATCGTCACCTTCATTTATTCTTGCCAGTCACACAAGACTGTTTGACTCTCTATCTGCCGAGTTGAATGTACTGATCATTTTGGCAAGATTCATCTTTGTAATTTGTGCCTATAGTATGAATGGAAATAGAGACGTTTTTGGAAACAGAAGACCGAAGAAACGCTTCATAGCATCCGGATCGTCCATAGACATATTCCATTATAAAATACCAAGTACCAAATAATTTGAATTTTTATCAAAGGATGTGTTATAAAGCTTGTCCGTTATTATTCTGGAAACCATTAATTTGATTCAATACCCTAGATATATTGAAACGCGCCCCGTACTCCCTTATCGCCGATCCCCTCTGCCATGACACACAAATCTTGACATGTCTAGTCACTACAATGGAACCTATAACCCCGAAGGTCTGCTTCGCATCTCTCCCTTACATCTTTAGTACCAGGAGGCAACATCAATCCCCATGTATAGACAAGGATCTCCAACTCTTGTGTAATGGTAGTCTGTTCCTGATCGACAATAATCTTCAGCTCTCGTATAAGGCGATTTCGTTTCTCCCATAATGCGTGATGGTCACTTTCACATATCGCACAACTAGCGATTGTATCAAGCCTCTCCTTTCTCATATCTAGTTCTATATTCAGCGCCTCGCCGTCTAGATCATTGATATGAAGATGAAAGAGCAAATCGTGATAAATAGCGAGAAAACCACGCTTGAACAGAGCGAGGGTATCCGTACGACTCCACATACTGGCACCAAAAGTTTTATGAAATAAATATAGTGGGGTGAGCATGTGAGGGAGCGCATGAAAGAGTTCGTCAGAAAGTTGTGTTGATGCGTATGTGTCGCCGTTGGTCGTAAAAAATGATGCCCTATGTATTGTAAGGACCGCCTTGCGTAGAAGGTCTTCTATTGTGTCTTCTCTGATAAGCCATTCACGCATCACCAGCTGTACCAGTCGATGCATAGAAATGCTATTGTCTTCGCCACTCGACACAAAGGAGAAGGCTTTCAGAAGCCCAATGGCCCTAAGACGCTCTCAAGTCTTTTCCTCGCCGTGAAAGAGTGATAGATACGTGACCAAGAAACGCTCGGGTATATGCTGATGATCGAACATAGACATTATTGATAATAATTCGGCTGCTAGTTTGTTCTGCCGTCTGATTTGTCGAAACGAGATTGCCCAAGCTTTGGTGACAGCTTGAAATGAGTCTGGATATCTGCCATCTGTCTCGAAGTCCTCATCCAGTAGTTCTATCAGGTTCTCATCTGCCTCTAAAAGGCTCAAGTACTCGTTGATCGAGGTACCGTTCTCTTTAATGAATGAAGCAGCTTGCACAAGTATCAAAGGAAGATATTCTAGCTTCGACGCCAACGTGAATAGATCAGCAACGTCGGGGCTCAAGAACCCGAGATGCTCACCAAGGAGGTCATGTGCTTCGCTTTCGGTCATGCGCGGGATCTCAATGAGGCACTGCCCTTTAGTAGCTCGGACAGCTACCTGCCGATTTCTTGTTGTGACGAGTAGTTTGCCTTGAGGACAAGTTGGGAGATGCCGGCTCAGACCATCAGTACCATAGAAAAGGTTCAGATCGTCGGCATTGTCGACAACCATGAGCCACGGTTTATGATGCTTGGATTCTAGCCATTGCTTCACCAGCTCGAGGTCACTCAAGACGTTTTCACCACGAGGAATCTCAAACTGTTCAATGATCTTGGCATATGACTCCTGCATGCGTTCTTCATTACCTGCATAAACCCAAAATACTGACAGATCTGGATTTTGCTCGTGCATTTCGTGCGCATATGCCAGGGCGATCTGTGTTTTTCTGAGAGCTCAGCTGTTGTCTTCCGTTCATGAAGTAGGCTCACTTACCCTGCCCCTCCTAAACCAAAGAGAGCTGCGACCTCGTAAGACCTTTTAAGGCATAATTCTTGACGGAGGCTCGCAAGGATGTCCTGTCGGCCAACAAAGTTTTTATTCGGGGGGAAAGGAACCAAGACTGTCGAACCTTTTCATTAGCTAAGTCATGCTCAAGTAGTGGGCATGAGTACGTACACTGAGGCAAGATTCCCTCTCTAGTTGGATCTATCTCATGGTCAACACGGTTCAAGAAGCGGTAGACAACTCACTAACCATGACAGGTAGGAACCACCAAATGGCGCAGAAGAGCTTTGGTGCAAGCAGCGGCAGTCGCTGCAGCGTAGTTCTGGGTAGCTTTAGTTTTATGGCTATTGGCATAGTCGCAAGCGCCCTTAACAACCAAGCATGGTAGGCTGTCCCAAATGCCAGCACTCTCCATCTCAAACGCAATGACGCCAAGTTTTCTTGCGATATCATCGCGATCTTCTCCAGACTTCATGACCGTATCTCCTGAGGCAATTCTTCCAAAATGCACTTTGGGCTCTGGCACTTCCTGTCTCAGCCGCATCCGCGGCACAAGCTTTCCATTACAACCGCACTTATCACACGGCATGTCTTTGTCAACATGTCGGTAGGTAGCCTCGTATAGGTGATCTGTCCCCGGTCCAGGGTAATGCGCTGATAGTTCTAGATCTTCCTGCAAGAGTGCGAGGAAACTTCTCATGTCGGATTCGAATGCTCTTCGTGCTCGGAGGCTCTTCAGCTTCGACAGCAGGGAGCGAATCTCAATGTTGGGTCTCCCAAGAGCCTCTTCATTGGTGTCTTTGTACTCGAAGCTGTCAGGATATTGCCGCCCCAAGTCATGCTGGACAACGCTCTGGCTGACGATAACATCGCCCAGTATAATCTCATGGTGTGCATCTCGAGGACCGGGGGTGAAAGGGATTGCTCCACAAATCCCGACGACGATGGCCAATTTGACATGGGGGAAGCTCACGCGACAATTGGTCGCGACTGCGGCTCCGCTGGCCTTTCCTGCTTCGGGCATGTAGGCGAGTACGACATTATGATGGCTGATACGTCCTGTCGAGTAGGAATTGGGGTCGCCGGGAGCTTTGCTGTTGACATTACAGTCCCAATGCTCATCAAACAGGGCTTCGATCGCATCGGCTTCGAAAGAGAGGACGCAAATGATGGCAAGCGGGAAATCGGCTCTTGAGACGGGACGTTGCGGTCTGCCATTTGCAGTCGACATTTGGGCTTTTTGTTGGACGCTAGACTGTGGTCGGAGATCGGGATACTTTTACTGGACGTGAAGCGACAGTGCAACAAGCAGAGACGACGATACACCCAGCCATCAAATTAGCATAAGAACTAAGAAAATAAGAGGAGATCGGCTGTGAGGATCGAAAATAGGGCTGAAAAAAGGGGAAGTTTGCCTTATTCAGAGGGCGACCTGCGGCGAATTACACGTGACTTCATGAGCAGGGGATTGACAACCAGCCAACCAGCCACAATGCAAAAGGCAAGGCTCCAAGGCTGATAGCTCACGGCAATATGATTGCTCATAATAGCTACATGGTGTGTCCTTGCTCGAGTTTAAAGTGTCTAGCGCCCGCGGTCGCTGTTATGAGATTTGACGTCACTAGAAACAAAACAAAACAGTAACAACAATAGATATCACAACCTAAAAGCGAAGACGTGTTAGGTTCTCGATGGCCACTATATCAATTAAAATAAAAATAACTTAGAAACCTAATGGTGAGGCTTTGCCTAGTCCCATGGTTGAAGCTATTATAAATAATGTCTAAGTTGTGAGCTAGAAGTGTTATTTGCCGCTGAGACCTGTGGCTGAGAGCTTAATCCGGCCGAGAGAAGATTGAAGCTATTATAATTTTGAAGGATTGAGAACAGAAGCATATAACTCCAAAACTCTGTCTCTCGGGTCTTCTAAACGAGCCTGTGTCTCTTCAAATAACCGGGGCAAACCGGTCTCCTTGAATGAAGCGTCTTTGAGGAGAAAATTCGCCATCGCTTGTCCGCACAAGTAGATTTGCGGCATTCCATGACCAGTGAAGCCTCCCATGATAAACATGCCTGGTCGACCAGGTATAGGTCCTACTCGAGGGAGCCGGTCGGAAGAGTACCCCATGACTAGTTGACGTCAGCTGCTGTCAGCATTAAGATGATGCGATTTTAAACATACTTCCCGTCCAGATGTCGTCAACATATGCCCCGCTGTCCTCCCATCCATAGAAATGCCTTTGCATGTAACCATCAAAGTATGAACGGGCTTCGTCGATAACTTGAGTATCGTCGACGTTCCCATACCATGAGTCAACGGATTTGATATACGCATCTCGAGCCCCACCAACTATGACGCTTCCATCTAGCCGAGGGATTAAGTAGTCAAAGTTCCAGTCCGAGAATCGAAGAGCGTAGGTATTATTGAGGAGAGGATGTGGGCCTGGGGTCTTGATCCGACTGCATACAGCGCGATATGGAATGATCTTGCTTTTGTATTCGGGAAGTAAAGAGCCTGTGTAGGCATTTGTTGCGAACACGACCTTTCGTGCTCTGACTTCGCCCCTGCTAGTACTCAAGGTCCATTGACCGGTAGCATCCTGAGTCTCGGAGACGGAAACCACTGGCGTATTAGTTTGCAAGTTGATTCCTTGGCTGATTGCTTCTGAAAACATATGGTGGATAAGTTTGTAGGGCCAAAGGTGTCCCGCGGTGTAAGTAAAGCACCCCTTTGCGCCCTTGACACCAGACATCTGAAGACATGATGTTAGCATTGCAAAGACAGAGATATCCAACACCTACCATCTCGGCATCCTTTCCCTCAACGCTGAACGTCTTCTTTGTCGGTTCAAGTCCCGCGGCGATAAGCTTGTCGTAACCTTCCCTGATGTGACGTTGATGACCGGTGGAAAGCTGTACGTCAACAGCCCTCGTAAGCACAAAGTCGCAATCAACTTTGTTTTGCTGGACGTATTCAGTAACAGCTTTCACATTTGCCGCTTCGAATGACGCAACTTCTGCGGCAGCTTGGATCCCATACTCAGACGCGTATGCGGAAATCGCGTTATATGAGTCTGGCTTGAGGTGGCCACCTTCAATTGTTAGTGCTAGCACAAGAATTCATTGGCTTTTTGACTCACCATTTCGTCCAGTCGCACCCGAGCACAGCTGTCGGGCTTCGAGAACAAGAATCGAGGGTCTGTCCTCAGGTGAAGTTGTTGCCAGGATATGTGTGAGAATCGCTGCTGTAGAGAATCCGGCACCAATGATGATAATGTCTACACACGGAGGAAGCTCCGCAGTTGACCGATAATCGTCGAGATTACCTGGTTCGGTCCTCCAAAAGGAAGCCATCCCTCCTGGCAGAGGGAAAGAAGCTGTGCACATTATGCCAAAAAGATAAAAGCGCTTAGAAAATGAAGAGAAAGCCAAGGCGAAAGATAACACAACAATTCCTTTCTGGACGGTTACTGTCAGGATAGTTTGTATGTGATCGGACAAGACTCCGAGAGTGCCTGACGCTACCCTACGCATTGGTGTTATCATGGGACTGATAAGGGTGGATCGATACTGTTTCTGGTAGCTGTCTCAAAGTTGCCTGTTCGATACTAGCGCAGACATCCACGGTCCACTGCGAGAAACTTGCCTGATCTGGAAAGCAAAATGTTATGAGTCTGGAGCACTTAGAGATCAGAGCATATCTTAATATAATGTCACTAACTGATATTACCCATGAAACTGAAGTCAGATTCCAAAGATAGAAGTTATTATAAGCAGCGAGCTTTATCACCTACTAACCGCTCCGAATGGAGTTACTTACAACCAACCTTTAGGCCTCTTCATCAACAACCAGTGTTACGATTATAGCGCTTACGTCACGTATACTCCACAAATTCTTCCACAACCACCAATTAAGCTAGAACCGACACTTACAGGACTAACGGCAGTCTAGGATTACATCGCCCCAGAACCGATAACGACTTCACTTAATAACGCTCCTCTATGACTACACTAAGTATATATAGATACATTTATTTAGCAGTAGATAGAACTTAACTTACTAGCTATTAATAAAGCATCTTTATATTAATAAGCCTAATATACATTATTTAATTATTAAGAGACATAATATTTTATAAGCTTAGTATTATGCCCTATATTATCTGCAAATATAAACCTAATACAGACTAGTTTCCCTATTTAAAACCACTACCGTTATACATTAATAGCTCTTATTTAGACCGTATTGCGTAATGCTAAGTAATACTAATGCAATAGCACCTACAACTCCTATCTAACCTTCTAATGCAGGACATGCGCAGCACACTCCACAGCAGGAAGCCCCCCTTAATACAGAGGACGTCTCTATAGAAACTGACGAAAAAAAGGAAGAAGAAATCGCTCCAGCCTATCTAACTACCTACAAAGGGGAAGTTACAAAGCTCAGGCAAAGATTTACCCACCTCAGCCAGCAGCATAATAAACTGCTAAATAACTCTAAGAAGAATGCTAAAATCTCCTAAAATCAAATTAAAGGGCTGGAGAAAAAGGTAACCAAACTTACCGGACTTGCTAAAGCCCTTAGGGCTGAAGCCAAGAAGAGCCAGAAGCTCTATCAAGAGTATATCAAGCACACTACAGCGCTTACTGTTACTGGCAAGGACCCTAGAGAGATCTTACGACCCTATTAGCCAGATTTATTTAATGGCAATGCAGATAAGCTTTAGGGCTTTCTTACTAGCCTTTAAAGTTATTAAATATACTACCCTATTTAATTTACTATTAAGGAACTTAAGGTCAGATACAGAATAGGATTCCTTAAAGATAAAGCACTCTAACTTATAGAACCTATTATCCGCGATTATATTAATAACCCTAAGGAAAAATAACAGGAAATAACAAAGCATATCTATAATAAGTATAAATACTTTAAGGATAAACTTAAAAATGCCTTTAGAGTTATAGATAAAAAACGAATAGCAGAAATAAAGATTTAATAACTTAAATAATAAGGATCTATAGCAGACTACTTAGCTAAATACTGCTATTAAGCAGCTAAGCTAAATTAGGGCAAAGAAGCATATATAGCATAAGTTTATTTAGGACTTAAATTAGAAGTTAAGGACGCTATAGTGAATGTCAGACCTAAACCTAAGAATCTAAACGAATTAGCTAATATCGCTATAGAAATTAACAATTAATAATTCAAATAATAATAAGAAAAATAAGCCAAGAAAAATAGAGGGTTATATAACCCTTAATAGAACATTAAGTAACAGAATGCTAACCAGGGCAAGAAACGATAAGTTAATATATAGCATAGAACCGAACTAGGACCTATAACCCTAGGCGCCACTTAACGAGATAACAGTTAAAGACTATACAATATATCTAAGGTTAAATATTATAACTATAACCAGTTTAAATATATTGCCAATAAATATTCTTAATTAAGACGGCCTAGAGACCTAAACCACAATAAGCAAATACTAAAAGCTACTAATAAATAGGACCTCTAGATGGCCATATGAACCTAGATATTAGGAATGACCTGCAGTCTGTATAACATAGTAGAAACGACTGCCATATATAAAGATAATATGCCATAAAACGGATAGAACCTATATTGGTAAAGCTCTGTTTAGGAACTGCAAAATGAATTTTTAACGGAAGAAGATATAAAATATGGCAATACTCTAAAGATTTTAATGCTATATAACTAAAAAGCCCGAGAATACCGAAAGAAGGTTTTAAAAGACCTAATAAAACGAGAAGAGAAATAAAAGAAATAGCAGAAGTTATACTAAAGGTAAAAGAAGGAAAGAGAAGAGATTATAAGAATAGAAATGTTAGGAATAATAAGGCAATAAAGTATCTTAAAGGGGAAGGAAGTTGCGTGATATATCGATACAATCCCAACTAGAACTACTATTTAAGCCACTAAAGTAGCGGTAAAAGCAGAAAGGATAGCAGGAAGCGATCTACGCTTAAAGAAATAACAAAGGGATTAAAGTATAGGATATAGGGGAGGCACAATACATATAACCGCACTATACCTCCAATAAGAAGATAAATAACTAAAATAAAAGTAAAAGCAGCCCTATAAACCTTTATATAATAAATAAGGATTAAGAATCTAGAAATTTAGGGAAGAAATATGCATTTAAACCGCTAGGGAATACACTAATATAGACGATTTATTAACAGTATATATTTACGCCTACCATATAG